GAAAAAGACTTATCATTTTAAACTAATCTGAAACCAACTGATTGTTAAGTCAAGCTCTTGAGAAATGAATATTGCACAGAATTAACCAGAATATACCAGAACCACCCAGGCCAAGTACATCTAGACAAGCAACACCACCACCACAGAAAAGCAGCAGGGCTAGGTGGAGCTGCAGTGTACTGGGACTACACCTTCCCAGCAGGAGAAGCCTCTTGTCTGCAATGACACCTGGACCTGGGTGCAGATCACCGAGGAGGTGAAAGTCAACATACCTCCATCCAATACAGGTAAACCTGTGTCCAGATAGGTCACCGCTTTGAACACAATTATTGATTTATTTAAACTTATATTTACTGTAGAAACTTTAAGTATAACTGTGAAAGAAACAAATCAGTTTGCAAACCATATATAGGCACAACAAGAAGGCGGACTACAAAAAAAAAACATTAAATGGACCGATGTTACACAATCTGAAATTTTAGCATATTTAGGTTTAACTTTAACAATGGGACTAAAGCCTTATCCTTATCTTTCTGACTACTGGTCTACCTATCTTCCTTTCCATAATCCTTGGTTTACTAACATCTTTTCTTGGGACAGGTTTTTATCTATCCACACCTACTTACATTTCAATATCAATACTAATGCTCTTCCTAGAAGTTACCCTAACTATGATAAACTTTTTGTAGTTAGACCTATCATAGCTATTTTGTTTCCCACTCCTCTCCTAAAAGAGAACTATCTATAGATGAACAGATGCTTGGCAGAATTGGTTTCCTTCAATATTTACCAAAGAAACCTGTCAAGTGAGGTATCAAGCTGTGGGTCCTGGAAGAAGCTGTACATGGATACTGTCTGAAGTATAAAATCTAACAGGCAATAAGGGACAAGTGCCAGCTAAAGGTTTAGCAGACAATATTGTGATGGAACTGATGGACAAGTACAACAGACTAGGCCACTGAGATTTCACAGACAACTTTTACACCCCCCCACTCGTGTATTTGACAAACTACTAAGTATAGGAACTTATGTTGTGGAAATGCAGATTGTATTTCCCACAGCAATTGGTTTCTACAAACATAAAGAGAGGGAAGTTCAATTTTTTTAAATGTGAAACTCTGACACCTGTAAAGTGGACTGACAAATGAGACATTTATGTACTTTCAACTTTACACTCTAAATACTATCACAACTGTGACAAGAAGCGGGAAGGATGTTGATGTTACAAAACCTCAGTTAATTGTGAAGTGCAACAAGTTTATGAGAGGGGTGGACCTGAATGACCAACACTTAAGTTACTGTTCTACTGGATGAAGGACAATAAAATGATATAAAAATACTTTTTCGACTTGACAGTTGTAAATGCTTATGTTTTGTACAAACAACAAACCAATTAGCCGGCATTATCCCAGAAGGCCTTCAGAATGGACCTGGGCAAAGCTCTTATTGAGCCTCTAGTTCAAAAGCAGACCAGGTCCTTCTGGTATACCACTTTCAAGAACTGTACAGAACTCATCACCTCCGAGACTTACTCTTGGCAGGCACTTCCCAACAACTGTTGACAGAAGACACAGGAAGAGATGCAGACTGTGCCTCCCAGAAAATTAAGTAACAAAATATAAACTGTAATAAATTTATCTATATTAAACATTTTGAAGAATATAACACTAGTGTTAATCTTCAAAGAAGTTAATTCTTTATATAAAAGAATCTGCTCTCTTCCTTTGTTTACATTTTTTTTCTCTAAATATTTGAATGCTTGTATTTCAAAGTACAGCAGTATTTTCTTTTTAAATCTAATTTCACTGAAATATTTTGTAAAGTTTTCTTTTGTTATTCATACAGTAGTGATGCTCCCTTTCATGTGTCAAAATCAGTTTACAATGTCTAAAATGTTTGTAGTAACTATAATGTAAATTTGCATTCACTGATACAATTTTTCCTGTGCAC